TTTTAAATATCTTCCTATTCTCATCTAAAGAGTAATGTCTGTTTTACTTTATGACATTTAATAGAGATGAGTTTTGCAGTTATAACATTCATGAATTTGATGTTTAATGATGGTCTCAGAACTTATGCCTTGGGAATGCTGAGAATCTAATGCATGCATTTTCTTGTAACTTATTTTGAGTAAAATATGCAAACTTATTGGACCTAAATATCTTGGTTAAAGAGAAATACGCAGATGTACTATTTAGTATGTTCTTAGGCAAGTCACATAACATAAAATATAGTTTTCTCCCTTGTAAAATAATGAAGCAGGGCAAAACCACTAAGGCATTTTCTAGCTGTAAAACAATCCTGTTATAAATTACTAACTATCTCTAATCATTTGAATTATAGTTCAGCAAATATTAACATTAACATCTCTCCCCCTTCCATTGTAGAGTCTACTTTCTCATTCTATTGATGTCAGATTTGTCAATGTAATTTGCTTTGGCCAATCAAATGTCAGTGAACTTCACAGGAGCATAGGCCATGAGTGTTCTTGGGAGATTAGGTTTATACTTTGGTGACTTGTCATGAAAACATGTCACTGACTCTTCATCTTCGGTCCAGAGCAAAGACATATATAGCAGACCTTAATCCAACATGCATCATAGAGCCTATCTCAAGCTAATCCACATCTTGAAGCAGAGCTTCCTGGCCAAGACCAGCTGAGTCAGTCAAGGTACAAGTAACCTAAACAGCCAAAAATGCCTTTTGTTTTCAGTCAGCAAGTTCTAGGGTGATTTGTACCACAGCATTATTGCAGTCATAGCTAATACTACCATACATGTACTATATAAGAAAAATACCAATATAGCCCTTCTTACTAGCTCAAATTTATTTTGACTTAAACCCAAGTTGGCTTACTAAAAAATTCAGCAGATTTTTGTTGACAACACCACATGAAGGCTGTACTGAACTTTGTATATTTATGAATGCATAGCTTCTAAATCTCTCCAAGGATTCAAGAATCTACCATTGTATGGGACTTACTAGACACAAGGCGTTGACTTCCACTACAATGAAGAACACATTCAGCTATTTATTTTCCCTGACCTCTGGCAATAAGAACCTAGTTCTGTGGCCTAAACCTGTCTTATGACAGCAGTCATCAATTTATGACCCATCGGCAAAATCCAGCCTGCCAGCTGTCTTGGTAAATAAATTTTTATTTGAACACAACATGCCTATCCATTTATATATTATATATGGTTTCTTTCACCCTAAAACAGCAGAGTTGTGTAGTTGTGACAGAGACTACATGACCTGCGGGGACAAAAATATCTACTAACTGCCCCTTTACAGAAAAAAAATCTATCCTCTCACTTATCAGATGCTTCTGCCAGAGACCCTAATTGTGGAATGAGTGACATACAACAAGAATAAATAATTTACATACTTTTTTTTAGCAGTGATGATAGTAAGCAATATCCAGTGCAATGGTGCTCCCGGTAAAGCAGTGGACTCTGGCATGACAGCAAAATAATTCAGATTTACCTCATAACTTGATACTGGATATATTCTGGATGACTAGCCTGCTCTTCTTTTATACTTTCTGTTCATTGCTAAACCTAGCTCTCAGGCTTTCCTATTGATTCCATGAGGTATCTGATATCCTTCTAGTAATTTATATAATTCTACCTAAAGTAACTAGAGTCACTTTCTGTTAGTTGTAACTCAGAACCTTGAATGGTCTATAGATCTTGATTTATTGCTAATTATTAGTAAGATGTTTTAATTCCATTCTCCAGGGATCTTTTTCTTGCCCTCTTGTATAGCTCCAATCTATCAACCCTTATTTTACTGGCTAGTTGTCCATTTTCTCTCCAAGACTGTGAAGCTCTTCAAAGTGGGGACTGAGTCTAATTCTTCTCTCTGTAGTTCTCAGGGATATTTGAAAGCATGTCAGAATGAATTGACAGATGTCATGACTATCAGAGCCATAAGATCACCATTTTTATCATCAAAATTGCCAACCTTAACTGAGCCATTATTGTGTTTAAGCAATCCACTAAGTTCCCCACGTATATTGTGTCAGATAATCTTCATAACAACCCTGTGACAAAGACACTATTATTTATACATAAGAAATGTATGGAGCAGAAGATTTAAGAAACTTGCTCAAGGGCACATAGAGAGTCAGCAGCAAAGTCAGAACTCCAAAACAGGTTGGAACTCTACAGCCTGTGCTCATAAGCAATTACTTAAGAAAGTTTTTATCTGAGATTAAAGTCATAGGAAATTTAGCAGCTCCTGACCAATTCCTATAGAATGTCAATGGAAGTACAATTTCAGCCTCTGGATAAGGAAAGGGTGAATCTACTGGGGTTAGAGAAACTCTATCCTTTGTCAAAACCAGAAAAGTCCTCAGAGTTGGGGTGCGATTTTAGCTACCCTCTCTGTGGAATGACATTAGTGTTCCTGCTTATTTTTAAGTCTAAGGTGAAGGTAAACTGAAAGGGAAATGTCCATATGACCCAGTGAGAAGGGAATACCTGGATCATTTGCCAAAAATTACTTATAATTAAAGTGGAGGAGAAACCTCAAAAAGCAGAAAGCGTTATTTCTACTTTAGTGCAAAACTGGTAGGTGTGTACAGAAGCACAGTAATCACTGGCCACCCAAGAAGCCTCAAAGGTCCTTAGGGGATGGTGTGGGTGGCCTAGAATGCTTGGAGAAAACACTGACTATAAGAAGATAAACCAGAGGGGAAGAACTTCCTAACAGTGGAATGAACATCCCAAAAGATGGTAATGAAACTGACATCACTGGAGTAGCCTGCAGAGCTTCATAATGACTCAATGTGAAATGCTGGGAGAAAGTACACCATGGCAGCAATAGAAGTTTATTTAAATATTTTTATTTGTTTATTTTAGAGACAGTCTGTTATTCAGGCTGGAGTACAGTGGCACAATCATGGCTCATGGCAGCCTTGAATTCCTGGGCTCAAGGGATCCTCCTGCCTCAGCCTCCCAAAGCACTGGGATTACAGGCATGAGCCACCATATTATAAGTTTAAGTTTGTATTTGTAGCATATACACAGAGTGGCTGAGTTTCTTTTCCCTTATCAAGTCTGGCTTTGGATACTGTGGGACCAGCTATTTTCAAGGAAGTTGAAATAAATCTCTCTTTTTTTGTTGCTGTTTTTTGTTTTTGCTTTTGTTTTGTTTTGTTTGAGACAGAGCCTTGCTCTGTCACCCAGGTTGGAATGCAGTGGCAGATTTTGGCTCACTGCAGCCTCTGCCTCCTGGGTTCAAGGGATTCTCCTGCCTCACCCTCCCAAGTAGCTGGCACTACAAGCACATGCCACCATGCACAGGTAAGTTTTGTATTTTTAATGGAGATAGGGTTTCACTATGTTGGCCAGGCTGGTCTTGGACTCCTGACCTCAAATGATCTGCCTGCTTTGGACTCCCAAAGGGCTGGCATTATAGACATGAGCCACTGCACCTGGCCTGGAAGTTGAGATAAATCTGTTAGACTATCCAAAGGGGAAATATTCTCAGGTTTCTGAGAGGAGGCTTGAGTCCAGACACATTGAACACCCACTCTGTGCTCAACACTATATCAATCCTGAGCATATAACACAAATAAAACATAGCCCTTTTCTATAAGGAGCTTGTGTGGGAGCCAGAAAAGTAAACAAATTGATTACTATGTGTTAGGTTCTAGGAGTAGGCGCATCAGATCTTATATTCTACAGGGTAGCCACCAAGTCTGGAAAATTTACAAATACATAAATGACTTATTGATATATTACATTAAATGATGAAACAATATCTGAGTTTCCAGATGTTATGAGCAAGTAATCGTTTTAGGATTTCTAGAAAAAGACAACATCTGAAGAACAGGTAGGTCAGAGGGAGAACAAAACACTTGGGGATCCACAAATTGATTTAATATCGCTAGAACATAATTCGGAGGGGCTGGCAGTAGGGCAGGCAGGAAGAAATAAACACTGAGGCTGACCAGATAATTATAAGCAATTAAGGAGTCAGGGTGTCATTCTCAAGGGAATGAGATTATAGTACCGAAGCTCTTACACTTTAGAAAAATGATGACCACTGAAAGATCATTGAGAACAAAGTAGAGACAATCATTTCAGACAACTGAGATTAATGCTAGAAATCTCTTTAGGTGCCTGATGTAGTAAACCAAGAACTAAAATAGGAGTAAAGATGGTTAGAAATGGACAGATGTAAGAGATACCATGGAGGTTCCCTGTAATTATTAGACAAATGATTTGATTTCCTCTGAGAATAATTAAGAAGCCTACCTTGAGAATAAAGAACTTTGAAATGAATCACTTTAAGCTGTTAGATAACTTTATTACTTTTAATCTCAAAATGTAAAAGAAAAAGTATTCCACTTCTTGTGATGTGAGGCTAAATAATGTAACTGAATTTCTGCGCCCCCTTCAATTAAGTCAACAGCTAAATATTTCAATTAAGATAAAAAGAAATATGATTTTAAATTAACAAATTCCCCATTGCAAAAGAAAAATGTGAGGGAGGGTTATGCAAAGTGTAAAGTGTTGCCCTCCAAAATAGAAATAAATGAAAATCAATTTTTATTGATAGGTAATATTTTAAACATGTTAATCTAAGTATCAAACTCCTATACATTTTTGGACACAGATTTGACTAAAGATAAATATGTTATATCGAACTGTTTATAGCACCTCAATTTAATGACCCAATCTGATTTACGATTACCTGAAATTTTAGAAGATACAATGCTTCAACATAATGCTAAATTTAATACTGAATAATTTCTACAATTCAGCTCATTTTTCTGAATTGTTCATCATTATTTGTTCTCATTTTACTTACCATTTTTCAATGACAGTGATACTTCTTTTTCCCTGTCTTTTTTCCTTGGAGGGTACTGAAATAAATTCTACAGTTCCCTGAAAACAAATCATTTCTCTAAGTATCAAGCAAAATATACGTGTTACCTACCCTTGTCGGTCCTTGTACATTTTGTTAACTTTTTCCCATTGGAAATCAAGCTGGGAGAGAGCTTCCTGTAGCTTCACCCTTTCCACAGGCGTTGCACTTTGCAATGCTGCTGTCTTCTTGCTGTGAATAATGTCAATCCGACCTGAGCTTTGTTGTAGATTATCTTTTATGTTCTGTAATATAAAAATTTTAAAACAAGTAAAAAAAATGAATTAGCTGTCTATAGAAAGAGAAAAAATATGTATAAATCCCAAAGGTAACAAATGGTGTTGCATTTCTTAATTACTGACTTTTTAAAGTTAATAACCATGAAGTCCAGTGACTTTGACATGCTCAAATTCAATAGGTAAATCACAGACCTCGGCCTGAGAGAGTGGATCCCTCCCTACATCTTAAAACTGCCTTCATTTGGCTTCTGTATCCTAACCTCTTCTGGTTTTTCTTCTACCTTTATGTCCACTGCTTCTCAGTTTCCTTTGCTGGATCCTTCTCATCCTGATCTTAATGTTAGAGTGCTCTGACTCAGTATTTGCATTTCTTTTCTTCTCTGTCCATAATCCCTCCCATTTGTTCTCATAATTTCAAACATCCCGTATAAGACAATGACACCCAAATGTATATCGCAAGCCTGGACATCTCCTCCGAACTCCATTCTAACAAATGCTAGTACTTTCTCAACACTTGGAGGTCTCACGAGACTTTCAAACTTAATATGATGCAAACAAAATTCTGAACTGCATTTCCTAATCCTTCTCCTCCCATAGATTCCCTCATTTCAGTAAATGGCAATTACTGATTTCAATTGAATTATAGTAATTCAATTAACAATTACTCAGATTGACAACTTTGGAGCCATCCTTAATTTTTTCAGTCTCCAGTATTCGAATTATTGGACAATTGTTCTGGCTTGACTTTCAGGACATATCCAGAATTTGACCACTTCTCACTACCTTTCTTGCTACAGCTCTGATATAAGCTATCGTTATCTCTCATCTGAATTACAGAAATATCTATCTAAATGGTCCTCTTGCTTCCAGTCTTTCCCCTCTAGTGGATAATTCTCCACACAAGAGCCGAAAAGATTCTTTCAAAACATAATTGGGATCATATCACTCCTCTGCTCAAAATCTTCTAGTGGCTCTTCATCACAGAGTTCAATCACAGCCAATTTCAAAAGCCTACATGAAAAACAATTATTCTTGCTGCACTTTATACAACTACTCAGACCAAGTATAATAAAGCAAATCAGTCCTGTGATGATTTGTCTTTAGTAAAAATGGGAGACTGGAGAGAGAAAAAAAAATTATGTTTTAAGAACTATGGTACACCTGCTATTAGTCTCATCAGTTGAGTTTTTTCCTGCAATATAGACTGACCCTGCTTATTCCTGTGAATCTGCCAGTGATCTCTGACTATACCTCAGAAGAAACAAGAAGGGTGGGTAATGTAAAAACCTGCATCAGTATTCTAATTCTGGACATGCATTGGAATCAGCTAGCAACCCCATATCACTTTGGTTCCAACAGTTGCCCAGTTCATGAAAAGCCTTCTAATTCAGTTTACTTGGGATGATTTTACTTATTTTGTTTTACGGTTGTGGAATATATTTGCTGTTGTACTCTGTGTAGGAATGCAGTATAAGCTTAGTCAATGTTTTCTTAAATTGAAAACGTACTAATCTTCCAGATACCACCATTTATCAATTATGAACGGCCCTCACCAAACTGATAATTGCTGACTGAGCTCCTCTCTACCCTGAATACAAGAGACCCTAATAGTTAGGCAGAAATATCATCACCCATATTCAGCCTGAAGAAGTAACAGAAGATGTATCTTCATCCCTCTACTACCCTTAGGATTAAGGGTTCCCTTGTAAAAGAAAGGGGGGAAATAGGTCAGAGGCATTAGAACCAGATCAACTTCATCTTGAATAGGGGCTGGGTAAAATAAGGCTGAGACCTACTGGGCTGCATTCCCAGGAAGTCAGGCATTCAAAGTCACAGGATGAGACAGGAGGCCAGAACAAGATACGGGTCACAAAGACTTTGCTGATAAAGTGCTGTAAATAAGCCAGTCAAAACTCACCAAAACCAATATGGTGAAAAAAGTGACCTCTGGTCCTTCTCACTGCTCATTATACACTAATTATAATGCATTAGCAGGCTAAAAGACACTCCTACCAGCGCCGTGACAGTTTACAAATTCCACGGAAGTGTCAAGAAGTTACCCAATATTGTCTAAAATGGGAGGAACCCTCAGTTCTGGGAATTGCTCACTCCTTTTCCCAGAAACCTCATGAATAATTCACCCCTTGTTTAGCATATAATCAAGAAATAACTAAAAGTATCCTGAGTCGAGCAGCCCATGCCACTGCACTGCCTATGGAGTGGTCATTCTTTATTCCTTCACTTTCTTAATAAACTTGCTTTGACTTTTTTTTTTTTTAAAGCATAATCTTTACTATGACCTATACATCTCTCTATGACTTGGTTGTATACTACCTACCATTCCAACTTCATCTCTTCCCAGTCTCTTCATAATCCACAACACTCCACCCTCATTAGCTTTACTGCATTACTTGAGTATACCAACTATATTCTTGCTTCAAGATTTCCGCCCTTGCTGTTCTCCCTTCCAAAAATAGTTTTCCTAACCAACATTTATATCACTGGTTCCCTTATTTCTTTCTCATGTTAAAGGGGCCTTCTCTACTACCCTATTTTAAATAGCATCAGCAATCACTCTTTATTCCTTGCATTATTCTTCCCTTTTCTTTATAGTACTTATTTCTAACATTAAAATATATATCAAGTGGCCTGTATATACCATAAGACTGAAATCTATGAGTATAGGGATGTTGTTATCTGTTGGGCTTCCAAAGCTCAAACCTGTGCTTGGCACATGATAGATGGCAAATGCTTTTTTGTTGAATGAATGAATAGATGATCCCATAAATTGAATCCATGCTTTATTTATATTCTATTTAATGGAGAAATCACAAACCACAAATGTGTTATATAAGAAGAAAGAGAAATCTAAACATATTTATTCTCAAATAAATTTGCTAAAAACTACATTCTGGCTATTCTTGCTAGTAAGAATTTGGTTATTTTGATCATCTAAATCATATATAGGGTCCACTGAACAAAATGTATTGAGTTCTTCCCATGTGTAAGGAGCAATATAGCAGAAAGAAAGGTGGGTGAAACATAGTTTAGTTTGCTTTTAAGAAGTTTTAAGTGGGTTTTATTGCAGTAGTAAGAAAGGGTATGGTTTGAAGAATTGAAGAACAAAATGGAAGTACAGAAGCCTTAGCTAGATGAGAAGGAATAGATGAGTGTTCTTAGTGGTACCAAACATCTTCTAGAAGTTCAGAGAAAAAATATATCATATATCATATTTGGTCTTAGGCTCAGGAAAGAATTCATGAAGAAGGAGCAATCTGCAGTAGACATACCTGACTAGTAGAAGTGGGAAGAACATTAGAGCTAGTAGGTAACACACACGCAAAGCTAGGTAACAAGTGCAGTCATATTTGGTTGCCTTTTTGGTAACATAGAAGCTTAGGGGAAGATGGGCCAGGAAACAGAGGCTGAGGATATTCAATAATGTACTTTGAATTTCAACAGAAAATTCTGCCTGTACTTCAGTAGCTAATGGGGAACTATGATTTTTAAAATTTATCATTATGTAAGATTTCATATATGTATGAAAGTAGGAAAATAATACAAATAGCTCCCATAACCCTATAATCCAGTGCCAACTGTTATGACTCCATGGACAACCTTATTTTATGTATCACCCCACCCACTCACCTCTTCAACTAGATTATTATGAAACAAATTGATATATTTTTTATCCATAAATACTTCAGCATTTTTCTCTTGCTGAAATATTCTCTCATGATAACTCTTTTTTCAGAAGGTACATATAATACCATTACCACACCTACAATATTAACAAAAGTTCATTAATTAAATCAAGTATCTAGCTGCTATTCACATTTGAGTTGAAGTGGGAAGGGAGTTTAGGAAAACAGCTCAGCAGAATTCAGTGGCTGTGTGTTGGGTGAAGAAGAGGAAGAACTTGAATGACTCTTAGGTATCTAAACTGAGCATCCACATGATTTGTGGTGTCATTGGGTAAAAGGATTTCAGATGGATGAATAGGTTCCATGGGTGCATGCTTGTATATGTGTGCATAAATGATTAGTTCAATTTTGGACTTGGTCATAATGAAAAGCCTTTGAGGCATCAAACTGTAGATGTTCCATAGGCAGTTGAAATCAGATTTTGAGGAATAAGATGACAAAGATTGCTGAGCCACACATATTTTCACATTTGGATACATGGACTAGGCTTTCTGAGCAAAGAGTTCTGGTAACTGACTTAAAGGATGACTGAATGGCAAGCTTACCTTGGAATTTAGTGCATTGCTCCGGAGAGACTTAAAAACTTTTATCTCTAAGAGCCCTTTGATTACATTTCAACTTATATTCCAAAAATAATAGACCTAGATCTTTGGTTTATATCCCAGAGCAAAGTCTCTGTCTTTCTGTATGTCTGTCTCTCTCACTCTCCTCCTGATGTATCAGGTGTTGTATATAAGCTCTGAGATCCACAATATTGGGGTTTCTCTCCTGTACTACAACCCCTGCACTCACAGATAAACATCTTGCCCTAAGATGCTTTTGAGTAATTAATGGTATATTCTGTCATCCAGAGATCTTGTGTTCCTGACTAAATATAAATGTTAACAAGTATCAAAAAAGGGAATCTTTTTTTTTTTTTTTCTTTTTTTAGAAACGGAGTGTTGCTCTGTCGCCCAGGGCTGGAGTGCAGTGGCGTGATCTAGGCTCACTGCAACCTCCAACTCCCGGGTTTACTTATACCATTCTCCTGCCTCAGCCTCCCGAGTAGCTGGGACTACAGGCGCCCGCCACCATGCCCGGCTATTTTTGTATTTTTTTTTCTTTTTTTAAAAAATTTATTTATTATTATTATTACTTTAAGTGTTAGGGTACATGTGCATAACGTGCAGGTTTGTTACATAGTGTATACTTGTGCCATGTGGTGTGCTGCACCCATCCAACTCGTCAGCACCCATCAACTCGTCATTTACTCAGCTATAACTCCCAATGCAATTCCTCCCCCCTCTCCCCTCCCCATGATGG